TATATTTTTTGCAATATCTTTCTTGATGTATCAGGTCAAATATTTACTGATGTTGTTGGGAGCCCATATTATGTTGCCCCTGAGGTGCTTTTAAAGCATTATGGTCCAGAAGCAGATGTCTGGACAGCAGGGGTTATACTCTACATATTGTTAAGTGGTGTACCTCCTTTCTGGGCTGGTAGGTATTCATACCCCGCAAGTCAAACTTGCCAAGTTCTTTGTTTTACACTATAGAAAGTAGCTCATATTTTCTTTGGTGGGTTGTAGGCACATGATAATTTAATCATTTTCCGTAATCCCACCAATTGAAACTTATTTCTTTTTTCAGAAACACAACAGGGTATATTTGATGCTGTATTGAAAGGACACATCGATTTTGACTCGGACCCTTGGCCCTTGATATCAGACAGTGCAAAGGATCTAATCAGGAAGATGTTATGCATGCACCCATCTGAGCGCTTAACTGCTCATGAAGTATTGTGTATGTTTTACTCTTAAAACCTAACTAAGTCCTCCTCTCTTTCATTTATTTAGTTTGAAAGCATTTATTTTTTCGAGTATTGTTAGTAAATGCCAGTGACAGTAATTTTCTTTAAGATGTTAGTGTGTTATTAATAGTGATACAACAGATTCCATAAAATGCCGTTATTAATTAGAATACTTGCTTAGGGTGCCAGAAAACATTCTGGTGGATAATTAATTGCTGTCAGCTATCTACAGCCCCTTTTTGAGAAATTGTCTTCAGCATGATTCATGCATCAAAATAATGGATGGGGAAACCTAATGAACTTGATTGTCAGTTTTATTTAGCCTTTTCACCTAGGTCCAAACTCCAAACGTAGTTTCAGGTGCGTTAAAAGAGTGAAGCGGAAGCAGCTCACCAATAGCTTGATGAAATGACTGGATAGTATGTAGTTTACCCCAATTGAAGGAACTGTATGGTCGCTGGTATTGTACGATAAACCGGATAGGTACCACAATACGCAACAATACGCTAGAATGAACTGTGTGTGAATGAATTGTTGGCGATTTAGAGTAAAATAAGGTGGGTCACATGACCCTTTTCAGATAGACCCTTTCAGAGTTGTTGGGTTCAAGTGAAATACATGCCAGAGCTCAAGTTTCTCTACACCAATAAATATACAGAAGTGTGCAGCTGAAGAGAGAGTATTGCTGGCTCATCAATGCCCATACTTGAGCTTCTGATCATGAGTACTTAATTTTGTTTCAGTGTTATTTCCCCTTTACACCAATTCTTTGCACCTATTCTCCCTTCTTTCCTAAATTGAGAGAATGAAATTGGAAAAAAGGTCAAAGAACTGCTCTCACTTTCTCAACCCTGTGAATTTGTGATAGGACATTTCATATTTGTGGTGATGTTACGTAACTGTCTCCTTGTGTACTCTTAAAAAGTACTCAGTGGTAAGATATTTGAGGTGATGCGCTGATAGCTGCCAATTTCTCCTAAGGCACTAAGTGTGTACTATAAAAGATACTGTATTAATATATTCACATGCACACATATTAATATATTATGTTTTGTTTTAATATGTTACAATTCATAACACCATATGATACACGATTTAAAAATCAGTCTTGAGATTCATGTCTTCATGATTTGAAAATCGGTGTGATTCATGATTTGAATCTCGATTTGATAAGCATGGTATACAATAAAAACCAGTTTACTTCTTATACAGGTCATCCTTGGATCTGTGAAAATGGTGTTGCCCCTGATAGGGCATTAGATCCAGCTGTACTCTCTCGCCTCAAGCAGTTTTCGGCTATGAACAAATTGAAGAAGATGGCTTTACGAGTAATTATTGTTTTTTACCTTTTCCTCAACTGAATAATTAGTCTTACATTTCATTTATTTGGGTTGAATAATCAGTATTATTGGGTAATGATATGCAAATATGGCATTTGTATTCATGTTTGTTCTTTTAGGTAATTGCTGAAAGCTTGTCAGAAGAGGAGATCGCTGGTTTAAGAGAAATGTTTAAGGCCATGGATACTGATAACAGTGGTGCAATTACATTTGATGAACTCAAAGCTGGATTAAGAAAATATGGATCTACTCTGAAGGATACAGAGATACGAGAACTAATGGATGCGGTAATTTAATTGTTGGGCAGCATAAATTCGGCGATCACATAAACTCAATAAAAATATTAAATTGATGAATGGTTGTTTTAGAATGTGAATAAAATCAACATGCGAATATTTTGATTTGTTTGTAATCACTTCTAAGAGTTCTAGCATAAATGCTGAACTGTGAACTTCTGCTAGGGTTGTGACTTTTCTGATAAGAATTACTATAATTTCAGGCAGATGTGGATAACAGTGGGACCATCGACTATGGAGAATTCATAGCAGCTACTATTCACCTTAACAAGTTAGAACGCGAGGAACATCTTATGGCTGCGTTCCGATATTTTGACAAAGATGGAAGTGGATATATTACAGTTGATGAGCTCCAACAAGCTTGCGCTGAACATAACATCACAGATGTTTTCTATGAAGATATTATCCGGGAAGTTGATCAGGACAATGTAAGTCCTTGATGACATGTCAGAGAAGCAACTTGATCTTTAGTTGTTTTTTCTCCCCCATTGTAGAATAATCATGAACATTATTGCCCATCAAAAGAGGACATTAGACTGAGTCTTTTCTGAAGTAACATTCTTTGAGCTCTTTCAAAGACAGTTAACACACATGCACACTCACTCTATTGCTGACATTTCAGCATCCTAAAAGGATAAATAATAGAGTTAGTAACACGCGGTTAGTTAGGAAGAAGAAGATATCAACAACAACGTTTATTTACCGTTTTTATGGTGGCCTGTAATGTAGATGTGGCAGCTCTAGTAGTTGCTTGCATAGATCCTGTGATATAAGGCTTCCATTCAGTATTTTCCTGTTTTTTATTTTTCCGAAAAAGAAATCCAAAAAAAAAAACAGAAAAAGTTATCTACAGTTTTCGAATGATATTATTGTTTTAGTTTATTTTACAACGTATAAATATACATATTAATGTCATTAAACAAAAAAAACTGAAAACCGATATCAATACTGAACAGAACCTAACTTTTGCTTTTTTCTAAATTTGATTTACATTGAGGGTAATTTTTTGCTTTATTTTTGCTTCTATTGTATCCTGTTCTGCATGATCTCACTCATATTTACACTTGCAGGATGGGACGATTGATTATGGGGAGTTTGTTGCCATGATGACAAAAGGAAATGCAGGTATTGGAAGGCGAACTATGAGAAGCAGTCTTAATATAAGCATGAGGGATGTACCGGGAGCTCATTAGCTTTTCTGTCGGATGCAATTTTCATAGGCAGTTTGCCACAACTGTTCTATTGTTGGAAGTCGAGTTAATGTTTGTTTGGCATATGGGAAAAGAACATTTCAGTTGTTTCAAATGTCTGGAGGATTTGATTTGTGACCTCCAAGCTTTGCCACAGCAGCAGGAAGTTTGTTTTGATATCTGTTGAACCGGGTCATCTATATGTTGTACAGAATTTGAAAGCAGACGATGACCAATAATTGATTAGATAAGGAGCAATCTATCCTTCCTTCCCAAGCTTGGAGCAATTCTCTTCTTCTTTTGTGTCATTGGGTGCTTGCTGAAATTGTTGTAAGCTTTGTAGGCTCTAAGTGTGCAAAATTGTTTTAGCTGCATCAAACTGGCTTGTAATGTTTTTGCTTTGCGTCATAACTTATGTTATTGTTTCTATTTGCATGCACAAATAAGTTCATACCTCTTAAAGATTCGATGAAACGCCCTGGGAATAATATTTATTTACTCTGAAAGAATTTTGAATAAATATTATTATGTATAAAGTCACCAGGTGTTCAATCTTTATTTTGATAAAGTCACCAGGTGTTCAATTTTTCTTTTTTGACAATGCTTCTGCCTTGTAATATCTACTTTTTTCACCCATGCATGTCATACTTAATACACACACACACACACACAGTCACACACAGAATGGATTAGAATTTAGAAGCATTAGGAATTTAGATGTGTAATGTTAAAAACATAGCTTTGAATAGGAGTTTTTTTCCGGATTAATGCTAATTAATTAATTAATTACGAAATTAGGGCTGTGTTAAAAGTTATTACCGATATATTGCTGGGAGTAATCATGGTCGGGCAAAGTCGCCAAAACGTTTGGCGACTTATAAGTCGCCATCCCATTTGGCGACTTTGCCCTTCCCCAAAAACATTAACACCCAAACTGTCCTAAATGGATCCCGATAAATGCAATTCACCGTTTAACGACTTACAGAACACGTACAAAACACAATTTGGTAGAAATGATACAAAGCGATACACCCGCTCAAAAATACAGTATAAAAACAGCGTGTAGACATCCGATATGCATAACCAAACACATCAACTCTTCATAAACAAAGGACAAAATACTAATAACACAATATCCATTAGTTTGAAGGTAAAAATATGTAAAAAAGTGAGGTGTTTTTACAACATTTGGTGTACATGATTAAGTTCAATAATAGAGAGACTACAAGTTTTCATGGTCTTCTTGATCGTCTTCGTCATGGAGTTGTGGCTGTTGACGCATACGCCTACGCCGCTGTCGTGGTTCAAGAACAACTCTGTCCCGCTGAGTCTGAGATGTAGAACCCACCGCTGCTGCCGATGATGTTGATGCCATATAATCCTGAGAGGGGGTCATATGTATAAGATGTCCATAGTCCACTCGGCCCAACACATCTAAACACAACGAAGTGATGCCCGTCAGAACCTGACCGTACATGTCCATGTCATGTGTATCATTAACTGTGGTAGTCGCTCGCTCATGTATACGCTGCAATGTCCGTGTCTGAAATGTGAAACATGAATTATAATTATTTTGAAATAAATAAAATCTTAAATAAAGAACATGAAATACTTTTGTAATTAGTAGCACGCTCACCGTCAAGTATAAAGCCATGGAACTAGGCTGGTAATAGTGAGTAGGGAGTCTGAAAGAAGGAGAGACAAACAGCCGTGTGATGCTGTAATACCATATCATGTAGCCTACACAAATAGATGAGACGAATGTAGGCGTCCCAATCACAACAAGCTCTGCTCGCCTCTCCCACACAGTGACGTATCTAACATGTTTGAGCGACCAATCCTCTGTAGGCTTCCCACGCCTATCCAGCTTATGGAGATTTACACATGTGTCGACAGGTACTGGAATGACCTGCTCATAGCCAAATTGCCTCAGTACATGATCTGGCAAATGAAGCTCAACAATGTCAAAAAAGATCAACGAGACACGTGCTCGCCATATATCATAGTGCTCTCGTACTACCGGGGGCAACTCCTCTAACACCTGGGCTATATATGGCATCCATGTAATCTGTTTGAAAAGTAAATAAAATTAGTCTTACTGCTTTTCATATGATAGGTAATTTATATGATGTGCAACAAACCTGATCATCCGACATGCAATCAAATGCATATCTATAGAAACCGAGTCCAGTAGCCGATGATGTGCGACAAAGATCAGCAAATAGCCATCTAACCGTTCATGTAGTACATATTAATATAAATATAATTCATATAATTATTCAGAACATACATTAACATAAATATAGTCTTGTAAAACATACCGACACCCCAAAGGGTCCTCTCCCCGTCGATGATGTGGTCCAAGGAGACATGGAGGCTGGTCATGGTATCGTGATATAATGGGACACCCAATGTGAATGTACTCCCACGACCAAAGTTGTAACAAAAGCAAAAAAAAACCAACCTCCGTGCTCCCACTCTGACAACCTCGACAAAGCTGCCTATAAAGATACGCTAGAGTGGCACTACCCCAACTGAACTGTCCAGCTACATCAAATATCTCTAGCATCAGCAATGGCAACACCTGAACCTCATTCCCACTCTTGTCTGCAAAAATGGAAGCTCCCATCAACATCAAAATGTATGCTCGTGCATGCTTCTGAATCATCTGCCTCTGGAGGAATAACAACAAAATGCTCCCTCAGCCATGACATCCTCAGAGATGATCCACGAATGTTTGTTCGGAGAAGGGGGCGAACACCCAACAATCGCTCCACATCCTCAACCCATGGTCGACATGCTGTACCTGTCACCGCTCTCCCATGGACTTGTTAGCCAGTCAAAACAACCACATCTCCCAAGGTCACTGTCACCTCACCAATTGGGAGGTGAAATGTGTAAGTCTCCTGCCTCCAATGCTCAAGAAGAGCGGTGGCTAGAGCTCTATCAAATGGGACAATAGCCACCAATCTGTGTACACAAAAAAACCGGCAGCTCTAACATAAGCTAAAACTCTATCATCCACCTCCACGTGGGACAAACTACGGAGGTGCTCTCGACACCTATCAACCTGCACATCCACACCACGCCACACGTCCTCAGTCCTATGTGTGGCCTGCCATGTAAGGACAGAAGGATCAATCGGTCCTGGATCCGCTGCAACCTCCATAGTGCCTACAAAAATTGGGAAGTTGGAGAAATCCATATTCTAATAACAATATATGATGATAATTGACGAGTTCATATTAATATACACACTTTATACAAACAAAACCACACCTAACCAAATCAAAACATTACACAACAAATTCAAAATATTACATTGAAGTCACCATTAAAATTCAACATTTCATACATATTCATATTTCACAACTCAATTCACATATCAATTCCAAATTTAAAAATTCAAATTTTATACATTCTAAACCCTAAAATCAAATATGAGATGAAATGGAGATTAATTTACCTAGGAGTGTTGAAGAAGATGGAGGTAGAGTTTACTTAGCAAGGGGGAGGGATGTCTCCGGAGTTGGAGCTTTCGTACGAGAGTCGCCGCACTTGGAGCTTCGAATTGCCGGAGGTGGAGTTTGCTTGGGCCTTGGGGCTGTTATTTTCCGTTTTGTCTGCAGAAGGTGGGCGACCCGTTTTTTTGAAAGGCAAAGTCCCCAAACCGTTTGGCGATTTATAAGTCGCCAAACCGTTTGGCGACTTATAAGTCGCCAAACCGGATGGCGACTTATAAGTCGCCAAACGGTTTGGCGACTTTGCCGACCATGGTTACTCCCAGCAGTATATCGGTAATAACTTTTAACCCAACCCTAGTTTCGTAATTAATTAAGTAATTAGCATTAATCCGGAAAAACACTCTTTGAATAGGGATGGGACTTTGGAATCAGGAACTAGAGAACCGTTGGAACCGAACTGTTAAAATAGGGGTTAGTTCGGTTTACACACTAGTTATAAGTTGTTCACAGTTCGGTTCGTATTCTTGGTTAATTAACGGTTCGGTTCCAGCTACCTACAAAAAATATGTCTAAGAAACCGTTATTCAAAATAAAAAATGGAAGTATAACTAGTAATAATTGTAGTAATAATAACATTTACTGTAACAATAATAACAGTAACAATACTAGTAATAATAATAATGTAATAGATAACATTTAGCCACATAGCATTACAAATTTAACTGATGAAAACAGAAGTTATAAATTATTGTATATGAGGATGAATATATTAAAGGGAAAATAATATAAACATGTCAAACTTTGAAGGTATCTAGATAAATATCCTGAACTTGCATATGTAGTATATATATACCCCGAACTTTATATAAAAAGTTATTTTTGCACCATGATTATATATTTTGGGTGAATCTTATTTTAATGCATCCTCATTAGTGTTTTGTGTGTTTTAAATTATGTACTAAACACCATAAAATTACATTTGTGAAAAAACATATGATCATGGTGCTAAAATATATAACTATTTATATATATTAAAGGTTGGGGTATATATGTTACATGTGCAAATTTGGGGTATTTACTTCACACCCCTTCAAAGTTTGGGATATTTAAATTATTTTCCCCTTATGTTGAACACGTTTTCACAAATTAAATCATGTTCCATCACGTAAATTTCGTAATTACAGAAGTAACTCAAATATATATGTGTTGCTTCTATATATTTTTACTTTAATATTCAAGTTGATTGTAATTATTAGATTTATTGTAAGTAGTTTTTCTGGGATTTGAAATGTAATAATATTTATTATCTATAAATGTGTATTTAATGTGTTTTTTAAGTTCGGTGGTACTTGAACTACATGTCTTTTTTTGCTATTACGATATCAAACCTCTATTCGTATCGAATAACAACGATTTTCCTATTTTATTTACAAATGAAAAATAAATAAAAAACATTTTAGCAAGTGGTTACTAAATTAAGTTTGGATTTCATGTTTGAAGTCATTGAAGCTTCAAAAAATATTTATTCCTTGCGTTTTGATTTTTTGACACTTTTGTGGGGTAGAAACTAAATTCTGATTATTTTTTGTGAAGAAAATATTATTTTTAGGAATCAATAAAAGTAAGAAATGTAACGTTTAGTATTGATTCGATTCCATAACGGTTCTTGAATTTTTACATAGGAACCAAACTCATTTTATTAGTTATTAAATTTTTTATAACGGTCTAAACATGTCTAGGGTAGTTAAATAAATAAGCGCTAGTGCGCCACTCGAAGAACTTTTTGAAAAACTTACGAATCGAATATATCACTCTTCACATTGGAATAAGATTTTTATTTTTTTAAAGAAAATAATGATTCTATTATTGGATTGCAGAAGTAGAAATATGGGACAAGCCTTTTAACGTTTTAGACTTTTAATATATTATTAAAATTACTCTATATAGAAGTAATTGAGACTTGTGAAATAGGAGTGCTATATGAATGACAAGAATAATACTCTCAGCTTCTCCTTGGACAAAAATAAGACCAAATCTAAAATTAGAGAAAAAACTCACTAATTATTACTTCCCCCGTCCAAAAATTCTTCTCACTTTCTTTTTTGGGTTGTTCAAAAAAATTCTTCCCACTTACTAAAAATGGAAAGTTTCCCCACTTAAAAACCCCTTTTACCCCTCTTAAATGTTTACCCTCCTACTTCTGTATCTCCCCACCCCCTATACTCTCTGTGCCCCCATCACATCTTACCCTAATCGATCCATCTCCCTCTCTCTCTTTCCCAGTTCCGATCTAACCTCCTTCGGTCTTCCACTCCTCCATTGTTGTACGAAATAAAACTCTCTCCTTCTCTGATTTTAAATCCACTTTAACCCTAGCTCCTTTTTCGATCTAATCGTTGTTCCTTTTCTGAAATTCCCAACCCCTACATCTGACTTCCATGGATGGTGATGGAGTATATGGACTTCGACCCCCCGGTATGCCGACTACTGGGCCTGGACAGTGGCCCACACACGTTTAGCGGATTCATATTATTGTACATTATTATTATTAAGATGTTCTAGATTAGCTTTTTATACTATCAGTCCATTTATGTAAACGGGTCTATCATGCCCATATTAGAGGCCCCATACTGTCAAGCCCCTCAACCCTTCGTCAAGATCCAGTGGAATACAATCAGTGCATGGAGGACCTTGTGGTTCCAGATAGCGAAGAGGAGTCGGATGAGGTAGACGGTGAAGGTCCGTTGGAGCTGGTGGTTCCGGACAGTGAAGAAGAGTTGGACGACGAACACCGTCAACTTCCGATGGAGGCTGTGATACAGGATAGTGAAGAGCAGAAGGAGATGGTTGACCACCAGGAGGTTCCAGAGTATGCAGCTGCTAAAAACGGAGAGAGGTGCCAATGCACCCTCTTCACAATCCCCGTCCGGGGGCCTTAACCTTCTTAAAAATCATTCTACCTGACTGGGAGTCTAGGATGTGGGACATCGACACACAACATTGGAGTTTCTATCTTAACATGTCTTTCTGTGTCATTATGTTTGACTGATTTAGCTTCGTTGCATGAATGATAATCTTCTTGTGTGAAAGTGTTTGAAATTGGGGCAATAACGTAACGATGAGTATATGGTGTGTTTAGGATTGAAATGGTTGTTTGTACCTTTGATGAAGGTTTAAAAATGCTTTGGATGTTATGTATGTTTGGTTGGTATGTGAAGCTGCTATGATGACCATCCCAGGTCTAAGCAAGCCTTGTGGCAAGCTTCTATGATGACCATTTCTGGTTTAAGCAAGCATTAGCCATGGCTGCTATGTTGACCATCCCACGTGTGAGCAAGGCTTGTGACAGGCTATTATGATGACCTTCCCAGATCTGAGCAAGCATTAACCCAGGTCTAAGCATGGTATGTGTGAGGCTGATATTGTTTAATATTTCTTGAGCAATGCTTGGTTGTTATTTGTGATGAATATGTGTGAAATGTGTGATGTTATCTATGTTTGGTTGTTATGTGAGACTGGTATGATGATCACCCCTAGTCTGACCAAGGCCTGTAGCAAGCTGCTATGATGACCTTCCCAAGTCTGAGCAAGCATTAGCCCAGGTCTAAGCATGGTATGTGTGACGCTGGTATTGTTGAATATTTCTTGAGCAATGTTTGGTTGTTATATGTGATGAATATGTGTGAAATGTGTGATCCTATCTATGTTTGGTTGTTATGTGAGGCTGGAGTGATGACCACCCCTGATCTGACCAAGGCCTATGGCAGGCTGCTATGATGACCTTCCCAGGTCTGAGTAATCATTAGCCCAGGTCTAAGCATGGTATGTGTGAGGCTGGTATCGTTGAATATTGCTTGAGCAATACTTGGTTGTTATCTATGATGAATATGTGTGAAATGTGTGGTGTTATCTATGTTTGGTTGTTATGTGAGGTTGGTATGATGATCACTCGTGGTCTGAGCAAGCATTAGCCCAGGTCTAAACATGGTTTGTGTGATGTTATCTATGTTTGGTTGTTATGTGAGGCTGCTATGTTGACCACCCCTGGTCTGACCAAAGCCTGTGGCAGGCTACAATGATG